TGTGTGTGTGTGTGTGTGTGTGTGTGTGTGTGTGTATATACTGTATGCATGTATATTTATTTTTCTCATTTTTAGTAGTCATTTATTTTCTTTCAACTATCTGTACAGTTGATGTCACTTCAAATTTGTGCAAAAACCATCACATTAAAGAATCATTTAGCGATATTTTAAAAGATAAAAGCATAAATTAAGTGTTTTCGAGTTATATTTGCCTCCCTCCTGACAGCACTTCTTCATTTAAAATAATTGCAGTTTTGCGGGGTTCTTCAGCTCACCTCCTAACCCTGCGCCTTCACCTCAGCTTCCCTCCTCCCCACCAAATAAAGCCCCACCGCTTCAGGAAACTGCCAATTAGCTCCTCGTTGCTCGCTCCACGATCTGCCATTTGACGTCAGCACCTCATGATGTGAGCCTCCAGCACAGCCGGGGGTCACGGTGGGCTCTGGTGGGCCGGAGCTCCTCTCAACGAAAAGACACGTGTCTGGAAAGGATCTGATGTTGTCTCGTTCAGATGGAGATACATCAGAACGCAGCAGTCATGTGCTGTAGGACCTTTCTGTTTCCATGGTGACACTTCTGACTTGTAATAAGGGAGCACTTAAATGCTAACAGCTGCTGAGTTTGTGTGTGTGGGTCTGTGTGTGTGTGTGTGTGTCCCACTTTCAGGCAGTGGAGCACACAGTGACATTTACATTGAGTAGAGCTGCTGTGTTTTCTGCTGAAGCTGTTTTTAGTTTGTAAATGTTAAGGGTTGTAAATGATGATCATTAATGCTTTTTATTTATTTATTTTGTCTCCACAGTCATGTTTCGTCTCTACGACACAGATGGAAACGGGTCGCTGGACAGCTCGGTAATCCTTCCTCCATTTTTTAGTAATTTTTCAGAGAACAATAAAAGCAGAAAAGCGTAACGGTTGCTGTGAAGTCCTGGAGCAGATCAAGACTCGTCTTCCCTTTGTTAGCTGATGAACTCTGTGAAAACCAAGAACTGTTCAAAGAAACGTCCTAATTAAACACAGTAACTGCTCAATCTTGCTAAAGTGAATACAAARGTTAGTGAAAAATACAGTGGAAGARGAGAATCACTCAAGATAGGGAACATGAACAACTCTAAGGTGTGAAAATATACCTAACTGAAAAAACATTGAGCTTTTCAYTTCAGTTCAATTCAAATTCAAAAATACTTTATTGATCCCAGAGGGAAATTAGTCTTGTATTTATCCACACAGTGGTTGTTAATGATTTGTCCAAATTCAAAATGAAAGTCATAAATTTACTCTTTTCACAACAAAATCCTTTCAGGGCTTTATACAAAAGGAAAGACAAGTCTGGACTCACGAAACAAATCCAAACTCTGATTCAAACCCAGTTACAGTTCATTCCTATTGTTTTTCTAACATTTATACTGTCAGCAGGATAAAACACAGAGAAATATCTGATTTGTTCACTGCTGAGTCATGCTAAGCTAAGAAATACTTCACAATTTCTGCTTTTTGATGGGAAGAAAAAGCGTCATATATTAACTGACTTGTCCTGAAAGCTGAGAGTTGGTAGAAAAGTGACAAAAGCTCTGGACCAGGCTCACTTCAAGAAAGTTCAAGTTTTGAGTTTGCAGATAAAGGAGAAACCTGGAGAAACAGGAGAAACCTCATTCTTTCATTCATCCTGCCTCACTGGAGATGAGATGACATATGATTAAAATACGATGAGATGAGACGAGATGACATGACATATATGTCCATATATATTTGGACACTGACACAAATTTTGTCTTTTTACCTGTTTACTGAAACAAATTCAAGTTACAGTTATATAATGTACATGGACATAAAGTCCAGACGTTCAGCTTTCAGTTGGATGAAGGGTTTAGTTTAAGCTCCTTAACATGTGCCACCCTGTTTTTAAAGGGACCAAAAGTAATTGGACAATTGACTCCAAGGCTGTTTCATGGACAGGTGTGGGCGATCCCTTCATTATGTCATTCTCAATGAAGCAGATAAAAGGCCTGGAGTTGATTTGAGGTGTGCTGCTTGCATTTGGAAGGTTTTCCTGTGAAGGAAACATGAGGTCAAAGGAGCTCTCCATGCAGGTGAAACAAACCATCCTTAAGCTGCAAAAACGGAAAAAAACCATCTGAGAAATTGCTACATTAGGAGTGGCAAAATCTACAGTTTGGTCCATCCTGAGAAAGAAAGAAAGCACTGGTGAACTCATCAATGCAAAAATACCTGGGTGCCCACAGAAGACAACAG